TATTTATTACATTACGTAGGTATTGACGATGGTGGAATTTTGTCGATAAAATGAAATTTTTGACGAGTACTTAATGTTTTTTGTATTTTGTCATTATGTCAAATTAATGCACTTTATCATTCAGAATTTAGTATAGTTCTTTGTTCTACTTTTGACGCATTTATTATGTACGATAAAATTATCGATACGGGAACAATCATGTACATCACTATTTTTTAATGAAAATTGTTTTAGACGTATTTCAACTAAAATTAATGAAAATAAGCACTGCATTAGTTAGAAAAGTATTGTATTTAGTCAATTTGCAGCAACCACACTTGAATAGTTTGAAAAACAGAGATATTTTAATGAAAAATAACAGTACTTACCGATGTAATGTTACACCTGCCGGTTTAGTAATATTTTTAGTGCTACATCCAATAACACTGCACCCGGGCATAGTTCTTCTCACTAACCAATAATTTCTTTGTTTACCACGCACAAAAACAACAGGAATTCTACAAATTTTCGTAACAAAATATTGTTGACCAATGCTTTGACAGCTGATGTACCACTGACATGCACTGATAACAGGGACTAAGATGGCCAATTCGGCACAACTAGGTTTTTCTGATGACGTCAAAAAATTATGGCCAGAATGGCAATAATGTGTTGTCTCTTTCTGCATAAGCAAAGAGACATAAGTAAAAAAGAAACAACAGTATGTTTATGAATTTACCGTCAAGATGGATCCTAAATTCTACCCGTAGACAATAGCCAGACATCTATGTTATATTTATAAATCTATGGGCTGTACACATTTGACTTAACTGTAATAACGACTCTTATACAAGATATAAAAGTACTTAATAATAGTAGTGTAAAACGTTACATACTTGACGGTGTAAATCCTGCTGGAACAACTCCGTGTGGTCTAATTATATAGTTGATCTTTGATGGTTCTTCAGTCCAATCCCTAACAGAGCCTCCAGCAGCTTCGAATGATTCTTTCTGGCTAGAGTTTCTCTCAGACATGTGCTCCTCATAGCTCGGACGTACATTCTCAATCACATTCACATAGTCAGTTTGTTTAGTTTGGGATTCAATTGAGTGTCTACTTGTTTCAGATTCCATTTATTATAGATCCTATTAATTGAAATACGTAAAAGAAATTTGTTGGGCCGGCGTTTCTCCCACTATATCGCCTGGTGGTAAGCGGCGACGCAATCTACTATGAATCACGTCGTCTCATAAGCAACCTAATTCACTCGGGCCTTGAAGAAGTATTTATATAAGTGAAAATGTTATTGATAAATCAGTATTATTTTTAGTGACTTGAAAATGTCAGAACACATGACATTATTTCTTTCCTTTCAAAAATTCATGAAATTAGGTTACATCGTTAGGCTTTTAGGCCAGATTTACTTGGTTTGGAACTCGATGTTGATTAGCTTCAAACTTTTTTCACGTCGTCGTCACACCTCCCGGTTATTCTTGGCCCCTAAATAACGTTAAGTTCGCGATGCTTTCTCGCCAATGAAATTTGATTTTCATAAAATTCATTTTTATACCGAAGCGCTTACAATCTCACGGCGCGCTGTAGCTACCGATATTGTTAGTTGCGAGAAAATTTACATAGAGGCTACAGTTAATATGGTATTCAATCGGTTCATCAATTTGTCGTTACATTCTTGTTTATAAATTAGATAAGTAGGAAGTATAACATAAATTAAATAATTTCATTAAAGGTAGTTTCTTAAAAACTTATTAAGTTCTTTTCTTATCATTCTTACTTCTATTCACATTTTCATACACTTTATTTGTCAGTAACATTTCTTATTTTTTGACATGTTTAAATCGCTAATATCTTAAAATGTTTTGTACCGAGAACTAGGTGGGTACAACCTGTACTGAATACAACACAACACAAGTACCGCGGTGGTCTGCTAAAGAAGCGAGATAACGAACTACCAGCTTTTGTTTTGCAATCTCCTTTGACAACGCAAAAAGTGCTCGTTGATTTCCATGCTGTATCTTTTTTAAATAGTGTAGTTTTTGAGTGAAGTTTCAGAAGATGAAGATAAATTTATTTTGTGGTCTATAAGCTGGAATGTATACAATGAATGAATGTGTCTCTTTTTCTATCTTCTAAGGTTTATTCTGAATGTTTTACCGTGATACACATCTTACCTATTGACTTTTTTAAACCATTTTAGGTACCGTACAATCAGGTTTATAAAAATAAAGACAAACTTTCTTAATCGTTGTGAGATTATCTAAAACTGTTACTTCAACGAATTTTCCTAACAACAACATTCATACATAATTTCACGCCTGTCCTCCAAGGGGGTAGGCAGAGAATATGGAACGCCAACTGCTACAATTTTTACATACCTCTTTCCCTTCATCAACAGTCGTCAGACTTTTCATGCATGCTCGTTGGTTAAGGGTACTTTTAATTTGGCCCTTCTATAATATATCGCCAATCTGGTCAGTATATGTCTGTCTAGGGCGCCTTCCATCGACGACCCCATTCATGTCCACTCTATATACTTCTTTAGTTACTCTACTTTCATCCATCCTTTTCACACGTCCAAACCAGCGTAATAATTCCTTTTCAATCCTTGTCTCTCCATCATCCTTCAATCTACATCTTTCATTCAATTTTGCTCCACACACACTTCTCAGGGCTCTCATTTCCACCGCATTAATATAGCTTTCATGCTTCTTATATTTAACAACAACATTAGTCTGAGTTTATGTTATCACCTTATCTGATCATTGTTCGTCGATCTTGGCTTTTATTTGTACGTTTGGTCTTTGTAATGTCGATAAAGGTTTTCCTACTCATTTGGTTAGTTATTGATTGCGATGTAGTTGAGAGATGGGATAGAAGAAATAGGTCGAAACATAGCAAATGTTGTTGGCTTTGTTCATATTTGATGGGACGACGTTTGACCACTATCTCGCTTGGTGGTAACCGATGATGTGGTCTACGATAGATCACGTCGTCCCATGAGCAACCTATGTATTCACTCGGGCTTTGAAGACACCCAGGTTATTCCCTTCAGGAAATACAGACTTGGCACTCTCGAATTCCATTCCTTAGTAGTTCGCATACGGAAGCTTGATAAGCTTGATTTCAATATGAAACAAAAAAAGTTGAAATGAAGTTTTTTTTTATGGGATAAGCCGGTAAACGAGCAGACGGATCACCTGATGGTAAGCAATCGGCGTCGCCTATGGACACCTGGAATACCAGAGGCGTTACAAGTGCGTTACCGGCCTTTTGTGATTAGGAATTTGAGGATTGTTGGGGATTCAGGGATTGGGGAAAGGGAGGGGGGGGGGTAATTGGGCCTCCGGTAACCTCACTCACACGACGAAACACAACACAACGTTGTTTCACGTCGGTCTTCTGTGAGGCCGTGGTATCACTCCGGTCGAGCCGGCCCATTCACGCCGAAGCATAGCTCTCCCACACTTAAGGTCGTACAAGATACTCGAGAGTGTCCTGCAAATATTAATCTAAAAGTTCAACTTTATGTATATATTATGTGTTGTAAAGTATTTCCAATATAAACTGGTTTGATTTAAATTCCCAAGTGACAGCAGAAAATAAATATACAACTAATCTCAAGTTGCAGGTGCAGCGTCAATCGAAGTTTCTCGAAGCAAGTTGTAACATTCGATCCGAGGCTTTGGGGATTTGTCTCAGGAGCAACTGTGAGCTCAAGTTGAAACAATTCTCTTATTTGATCTTTACTTTAACGATCAACTGGCTCACTTGTAACTTAACTAAACTTAATTTACTTATTTGTAGTTAAGATTGTGTGGAAAGAGAGATTTTATTCTTGACAAATCTAAAATATCGCATCCAATATTCATCGAGAACAAAAATTATTAACGTCAACTGTATTTGGTGATATCACTTAAAACTTTTGCTAATTAAGTTAGCCGGAACGAAACGGGAGGCGAGGAGTGTGAATTACTTACATTTTGTGTAGCAACAGCAGGAAGGGACAATTGAATTGAGTTTTAGCATTCAAGTTTTCGCTTATATTTATGTAGGGTTGTCAAACAACAACAAAGTGTCATAATTCAAAGTTATCTGCTGGGGTTTGGAAGTATGAAGGAGTGTCTTGTGGACGGCCCTCGTTTGTGATGAGAATGGAAAAGAAAAGTGTCGCGTTACTGCGGCGGTCGGCTTCCACCCTCCTCCCCCAGACTGCGAGGTGTGATCGCGATGAGTCGCGGGGAAATTTTCAATTTGCAACGAGTAGGTCGCATCTACTTATTGTAATATTTTATAAAGTAATATTGTTTTCTGTTACGTTACCTTTAGAAATATATCATGACATTTAATTTAAAAAGTGGTGCAAGTTTTATTACTAATTGTAGAAGTCGGTATAAAGGTATTTCTTATATTCTGGCGTTACAATGAAAGTACAAATTAATATTCTTTGTCGGTACAAAGTGATGAGCTAAGTATAGTATTAAAGTATATTTTTTGAGCAGCGCTAACTGCAGTCGAGTACACTCAAATAAATTAGCATTCTTCATTTTATAGCAGCGCCGTTAAAATGGAAATTACGTAACATCCCGTTGTTTTACTACTGACAAAGTTTTGTTTTTAATTAAAGCATCAGTCGAACCTTTCAATTAAGTTTACAAGAGAGAACTCACTAATGAAATTACAATTTCTATCGACTTTGTACATATTTATTCGGTAAGAGGTAACTAGGAGTTGATTTATAACGCTATCGGTACATATTCCTTGCGTTCCCTTGGGTAGGGACCAAGTTAAGTTTGACCCAGATTTTTCCTTCATTTCTGGATACTTGTAAAGGTTAAGTTGGAATTTCCGAGTGGATTTTAAACCCTCAATTTGCCCACACACATTAAAAGGTCACTTAATTAGGGAAGGTCTGCAGTTAAATCTTGGAATTGGCGAAAGGGTATATACCGTTTCAAGTCGTCGCTTCCTGGCCGTGATGGCGAGCCCAACGTACCTGAGCGAATTGTTGGGACCATTAAGTATACATGTGCCAACATACTACTACCTACCTTCTATATTTATGTCTGCACGAGTGTTTGTTTTGTGTATTGACTTAGCTTTGGTTTTTGTTTGACCTTAGATAATTTCACTAGGTCACTAAGATAATGACGTATCAATGTACTATTTGATTTAACTACATTTGGGACTATTGTGGATAAAATCACATGTACTTATTTTATTTCTTGTTAAACTTCTGGAATTTTGTTCAGCATAGTTAATAGGTTGAAAAGTGAGCATTGCATTGTGAGTATTGTAAAGTTGCACCTCTACTTACTTCTTCGGGGATGAAAAGGTGTGATGTTATATTATATTATTATTGTGTTATATTTTTGTCATTTTTAGGTACAGGCACTTCAATGAAATATTTTCATAAGCTTGTAATATAAATAACCTGATATTCGAAGCTACATACTGCCATGGCGATGGAAATGTCAAGGTCGATCTCAACAAAGTAAGTACATACGTTTATGTGTACCATTCTAAGAAATTCTTTTAATAATATTATTTTATATTGGTTATAAATGTACCTAACTTGAAAGGAGTTGATTCTTATAATCGAAAAAAAGCGTACTCTGTGTCGTTTTTTAAGTAATGAATGTACTGACTGTACGGTTGACGCGGTGGCTGGGCAACTGACTGCCACGAAACTAGTCACGAGTTCGATTCCCGTACGCAACAACGCTTTGTGAGATCCACAGATTGTTGTTCCAGGTCTGGTTGTCATGTGTATGTGAACTTTTTTTTGTAAACGCACCCATGATACAGGAGAAAATCCTAGTATGGGGGTAACGATTTAAACAAAACAAAAACAAAACTGTGACTTCTTAATGTCTAGAATTTCGAATATACGTAGTATACCGCATACGACAGATCACTATTGAAGTATGGCCTATTCTCTACATGAGTGTTTGTCATAATCCTCTCGTGTAGCGAGTTGTAAGGTTTAGGTTTATCTGTCATACGTATCTTACTCGGCTCTTACAAGTTTACAACACGAACAAAATATGTACCTACATTAAGTAAATACAATAGGAATTAATATTTAACAATAAACTTCTGAGCTTTTTAAAGTTTT